AAGTCAGATTTTCATGATATGTCACCTTTAAAAAAAAAAAAAGAGCCGAATTCTGGCACAAGCCCCTACAGATTTTTGAGTGTGACCCAAATGCACTGGTGCTGGCATGAAACACAAACTTTGTTACCGGTGTGTGAGTGTTGAGGTGGTGAGATGAGGAGCACTCTCTCGGAGAGATCGGCCTGTGTGTTGAGCCAGCGGAGCGGCCCTTGTTCTGCTAGGCTTCCTCTCTCCCACATGTCGATGACGACGCATACTCCACCACGACTCTGCAGACTGTCAGCCAGGAGCATCACAGAGCGCTGGAACACACTGTCTACTGCAGGGTACACGAGCAGCACGCGCACGGACGCAGCGCGCCTCGAGCCACGAACCCAGCGGAAGCTTTGACCTGAGAGAGTGATCAGAGTAACATACTAACACACTACTCTTACCGCTTCTGCAGTCTGTGTCCAGAGGCCTGCTCTGCTTTTTCAGGCTCATGAAGGTGGATTGGTTTTAGAGCAAAGTGACATATATCTAATGCAATAAAGTGACTGCACCTGTATCTCCTGCACCAGCTTAAAGCACTTCACAGTGACATCATCTGAGAGACAAAGGCCCAATCCCAATTCTACCCCTTAGCCCTACCCCTGTTTCGCGCGTTCACGTGAAGGGGTAGGGATGTCTCGATTCTCTTTTGGTTGGAGGGGTTGGGGTAAGGGGAAGGGCCAGATAGCCCTTCAAACGAAGATTTTTCGGGACCACACTTCAAACGAAGGGGTATGAATTATCTCAGCGTAAACCGGCTACAGCGGCTAAATGGCTGCCCGAGCGAACAAAAAGACATAAATGTAAGCAATTTTGGCATTAATAAAGATTTTAACGAAAAGTAATCATTTGTTTTGTTACATTCAATCGTGAGTTCATATTTACGGTCATGTTACTCAAAGAAATGTTTGCAAAAAATCGCTAAAGTTTGCTAATATCATATCATTACTGACATGCAGGATAGTGCCACAACATAGGCTATTTTCATGTCTGATCAGGGCGATAACCACCATAGACATTGAGGAGGGCTAGTACCCCCAATAATTATAAATCGCTAAACCCTTTTCTGAAATATTGCCAATTCGAGAGAGAGAGAGAGATTAAATTTGCGTGTGCGTTTCTCTTTTTAGAGTGAGTTTACTTCAAAAACAGCGATTTTATCCTCTAGTTGCTGGAAAATATAACGAGCGATTCAGTATTTAAACTGTTATTAATAAAAGTCGTGGGGCAGCGTTGACAAGTTTCTTTGCTCCTGGATGTATGAGCTGCGCGATATCTGGTGTGTGTGTGTGTGTGTCAGTAAGCAGCGCATTAATATAGAACAGTAATTAAAGGCTCTAATGCACACCAGCACATATACGTATAGTAGTGGTGTCCCAATTCTTAGGGGAATATTTTCCCCCCTACCCCTTGACACTCTGTTTCAAGGGGGAAGGGGTAGGCGGAGGGGTAGGGGAAGGGGTATAAAATAGAATTGGGATTGGGCCAAAATCTGCTGCTCATTTTTGGCTGCTCGCTGTAGATGTTACACTTTCACGTGCACAAGCTCCAGAGTTCATCAATAGCTCTGGATCAAACCCGGAGTTGACAGAAATCGTCTAAACTGGGTGTCAACTCTAAGCCTACTCTGAAACAGGCCACTGGAGATGTGTCCATAATATCTCATATTTCAACTATTATTGACCACATCCCTGTGTGTAGAGGTGTAAAATTTGAAAGCAAGTTTTAAATCCTTTTCTTTTCACTTACACATGATGCAGCAACAGAGAAGCACGAAGAGAAGCGCCAGCACACATCCAACACCAATGTCCAAAGCAGATCTGTCTGGAATAAAACACCCCGAGAGTAAGCACAGAATTGCTCTGAACAGAGAAGCAGTGAAACGAGAAGATGAGTTACAGGATACTCACTCGGACAGTTCACTTTTTGAGCCTCCGATTCACTTGCTTTCTGACAGTCTTTAAAGTGAGGCTTTATCTGCCATTATATAAAACCAGATCAGTGTTAGTAAAATCCTTCTTTATTATATGTTTATAGCTATTTCTATAGTATATTTTTGATCTTTTGTCTTTTTTTGGGGTGGGGGTGAGGGGACAGGTCAAGGAGAGACGGGAAGTGAAAGGATACAAAAGGGATGTATTTGCAGAGAATATGTTATGAAATGAATTTTAATTGTTCTTATTCCACTGGAATTTTTGTTTTCAGCAACATTTTGTAAGGTTTTATGATTTACCAGATATCTGTATTGGAAAACAAAACTACTGACAGAGAAAATGACTTCCCACATATTTTGACCAATGAGATTGGATAATGTTTGATTAACACTAGATTAGGGAACACATATTCACTGTTAATTGAGAGTTTTCCCTCAATAAACTCCTAATTTGCTGCTTATTGACAGTAAGTAATGCAGTTGTTGTAGTGGTTATGTTTAGGTATGGGGTAGGATTAAGGGATCTAGAATATGGTCATGCATTAATATGTGCTTTATAAATACTAATAAACTGCCAGTATGCTAGTAATATGCATGCTAATAAGCAACTAGTTAATAGTGAAGAGTGTTCTCTAATTCATAATAATTAATCTTATAAAACATCTATCAATTTCTAGCCACTGAAAAATTTCCATGACATTTCCGTTAAATGTCCAGGTTTTTTTCTTGACCGAATAACCCTGCATGCATTCTAATAAAGCATATATTATTTTGAGGCTATATGATGTGCATCACAGACATCATTCAGGTAAAGATTAGGTCTTATTTTATAGTTACCCATATCTTAAGGTCTTCACAGGGACCCATGTATTCCATGTATTCTAGTTCCACTTCACATTTTTCTACTTTGCATTCCTGCAAGACAAAGAAACAAAAATGTTTTGTCTTTTTCCACTTGTTTTTCACTTGTTTATACTTAAAACAAGTGAAAATAATCTGCCAGTGCAGCGTATACAATATACACAAGTAAATATAGCAAATTTATTTAAATGTTTTTTTCGGTGACACACCACACACATATAATTTTTTCCACTCAATTATGTCATAATAACGAGATGCCATGTTGTTAAAACGACAAGTTTTTCTCGTTAAACGACATCTTTTCTTGTAATAACGTTATGTCGTTAAAACGGCATAATTATCTCGTTAACCCTCAAGCATCCTTCGTATAGCAGCCCTTAATTGGTCCTTAGTGGATAAATTTGGCCTATCTACTATCAGTTTATGCAATTTGTAAACTATCAATTTATGCAATTTTTGTGATTTTTTTTTACCTCTAAACATACCATATTTTTTTGTTGTATTTAATATTTATTTTACTTCAGTAATATATATATATATATATATATTTATATATATTCCTGTAAGTTCAGACAGCGAAAACCTTAAAATTTGGTGACTTTGGTGACATATGATGGTATAAAAATATCAATAGCCAGAATTTGGCTATATTACTCAATGGCTGCATATACTGTAGGCTGAAATAATTGTTGTAATGAACTTAGCCTCTTAAGTTTTAGATTTGATCACAAGTTAAAATTGTAGAATAAAAAAATTAAAAAAACACATTTGTGTTGGGTGAGACTTAAGCCGACGTGGATCAGCTGAGAGTCAAGCTTGACTGACGTGACCTGATGTGACGCTGAGCTTGACTTTTGTCATATTTTCCAGCTGGTTGAAGTGTTGATTTGTCCTTTGAATTAGTTTTAGCATGAAATTAAATGTTGAGGAGAAACATACCCCTTTCCCTCCAACAGGTTTTAGCAGTAGATGTGTGCTGTTTGTCAGTACGATGGTGTGTCTGTCCGCCACGAGGCTCGTATTGAACCTCACCACTATTTTATCTCCATGAAGCACTGAATAAATGTCAGCATTCCACTGAACTTCAGCTAGCAAGTCAATCAAACAGAAGAACAGTCAGTCACCAAAACACTGAACAGCATGTGATGAAACCACTAGCACTGTTTATTAAACTTCATTGTGTGAATGATGCCTCAAATCATGTGTGCTGCTGTTATTGAACTCATCAGACGCACAGTTTTCGCCTTTCCACCTCGATCACAAGCTTACCTTGACATCAGAGCTGTGTCTGAAATGTATATAGTGCACTATTTCAGACATTAACACATTTAGAAGTGAGTTTGCATGTTGACCCTGTGGAGCTCTGGTTTTCCCCACAAACCAAAGACATGCAGTATAGGTGAACCGGAGACACTAAATAGTGTGAGAGTGAATGCGTGAGTCTATTAATTGAATGAAATGGACTATATGACATTCACTAAATAGGGAATAATGAACGAGGAGATATAGCACAGACTATTGCAGACATGAGGCCAACTCGAACATCATGGCAGTGCGTTTTGCATGTCTGAGCACCGCTCTCATTTGCATATAATATTTCAGGAAGTGCCTGTAGATCTCAAATGAAACTTTAAACACAATGGGTGGAAATTCATCGATTTGGTGGCATTCCTGTCTGTCTCTAATAATGTATCGCCACGTAGAAAAGAGGAGATAAAAGGAGTGGCCATAAGAGCAAATAAATCTAACCTGTTCGGGTCTTCTTTTCATATTCTTCATTCGCTCCATCAGACGGTGTTGGAATATTATAGGCAGATATGTAATAACTGGTTGAAGGACAAACAGATACATTTGGCACAGTGAAACTGAACCATAACTGTCAATCAAGAGAAGGAAAAGATTAGGACACAGAATCAATTACGCTGTAAAACAAACAAACAAAAAAACAACTTTTAATTGGTTAACAGTACTTTCCCTTACTATGCATGGCGTGTTGTAGTACTAACAGGGCAAGTGTAATTGTACAGTAAAATACTGTTGAATGTACAGTTTTTGGAAGAAAAAAGAACAAGTCATTTATGATTTAAAAAAAAAAAAAATTATATTGACATTCCCAGAAGTGACACATTTGATTTGTTGAAATAACTATCTTTCTTCTTAGGTTTTTCTTATCAGTCATGTACATTAGGGTTTATGTCACATCTTGTGTTGTTAAATGAATGTTTAATTCATTATTATTTTAGTGTCAAGTGCATTGCCATGACAATGTGCAGCTTCTATTATTATGATGGTTAAAGGATCAAAACAGTTCAGTAGCATTGTGGTTATGCTAACTCAGTAAAACAGGGCTGTTGGTGGATTTACTGGTTTGTTTGTTTTGTTTAACAGTTTTAAACTGTCAAAAAAAAGAGGTTGTTCTATAAAGCTGTTCACATTTTTACTGTAATTTTACAGATTGTTTTTACAGTGTCTGTGAGGCTCAGTGCTCTTCGACTGTGATGTTGTAGTAAAGGCACTGATGACTAGTAGTTCAGTTCACCATTTCTGTCCTTTCTTTACCTGTTCTTGACCAGTGAGGTTGATTCGCTCGGAGGTAAATGGAGGCTGGTACTGACATCTGTAATGTGAGTCAGACTCTCTAGAAAGTGTTATCCATGTGCCAATAACACTGCGAATGCTGCCTAAGAAGACAATGTTCAAATTGACACATATTATGTACAACTCCAAAATATTGACTATTAACATTTGCAATTTATAGCCTCATAAATTTACAGCCTTTGCCATTCACACTGGCTTTTTCCTGCTCCCATGATGCAACACAAACAACATACACATCATTAAAAGTGGTAGATGACCACTGTCCGACAAACTTCAGCTTAACTGCAAACCATCTGCTGAAGTCATGTAGTGATATTTGTAGAGCGGTGTGATCTGATGTGAAACTAATGTGATCAGCTGGAATTGTGTCTGATCAGGCTTTTCTCTTTTCCGTTTGCAAAAAGCATTTTTCATGATTCTGCAGTTTTTAATCACATTTTACTTTTCAGCGTATAGTAATTTACTGTGTAATTTAACAGTTTCATTAAACACGTCGTAAAGTGTCACATGTCATTCCAGCCATATGAGAATAATATAGACACATTTTTACCAAGTTTATTCACCAACCAGAAAAGAGACAGAATAAACTCAGAAAGAATCAAAACCACACAGAACTACAAAAAAAACAAATCACTTACTGTGATGTCACTTACTATCAATATTAATGGACCATCTTATAATGAGAGAGGTTTGAGATTCACTCAGCTCCGCAGTCAGCTCATGTAAGGGTGAAGGGTTAGATTTATGGTTTTCAAACCATTCATTGGGTATTTCATGCTCTAACAAAATAAATACATACAAATAAATAAATAAGAAGAAGAAATAGAAGAAAGAAAGAAAGAAAGAAAGAAAGAAGGAAAGATGTATTTTAACACTTACCATCTTTGTAACATGTGGCAACCTGTGAATATCAAACGAGATAAATGGTTTAATTAAGCTCTGATCAAATGATTTTTATAAAATATTTCTGCTATGAGATGACAGTGTACTTACTATACCGAGAGAACTGCTGTCTGAAGTTGTCCACTGGATTAAAAAGAAAAAAGCAACAATTTCCCTCATGCAGTCTAGAAGTTCCATTTGAACAGACCTGAACACAAATCTCTGCTGAAATGAGCCGTGGCTCTGCTTTTATATCTTCTCCAATAGGAAACGCCCACACACCACATGCACACAGCAGCAGATTGTCATCAGCCGATGTACTGCTGTCTTCCAGAAAAACCCTCCTCATAGAAAACATTAAGTCACCTTTATTTATATAGCGCTTTATACAATACTGATTGTGTCAAAGCAGCTTTACAGTGTTAAACAGGAAAATAGTCTGTCAATAATACAAGAGGACAATAACAAAGAGTCATTTTTCAGCTAAAGTCAGTTCATTGATGATTCAGTGATGTCATCATCCAGTTCAGCTCTCGTCCAATAGTATCTGTGCAATCAGTCAAGCGTCTCCAACTAAACAAGCCAAAGGCAACAGCGGCAAGAACCCAAAACTCCATCGGTGACAGAAATGGAGAAAAAACCTTGGGAGAAACCAGGCTCAGTCGGGGGGCCAGCTCTCCTCAGCTCTCGTCCAATAGTGTCTGTGCGATCAGTCAAGCGTCTCCAACTAAACAAGCCAAAGGCAACAGCGGCAAGAACCCAAAACTCCATCGGTGACAGAAATGGAGAAAAAACCTTGGGAGAAACCAGGCTCAGTCGGGGGGCCAGCTCTCCTTTGGACAGACAAAACCAGCATGGTGTGGTTTAATGCCAGGCTGCAACACAGGTCAGATTGTGCAGAGGACTCGTATGGTTCCTGTGGTCTTGTGCCGATGGTTGTCAAGGTGATGAGGTCTTCACAGGGGCTCTGTCTCTGGAGCTCATCTAGTTGACGTGGTCTCCGCTGACATTCAGGGCTGTAGAGGTCGTCTCTAGGTGCTGATCCACCATCTGATCTGGATACAGACTGGATCCGTATGGCTACGGTGACCACGGAATAAGACTGAAAGAGATTAATATTACCGTAGATGCCATTCTTCTTATGATGTAGCGAGTAAATCAGGTGTTATGAGAAGTGTTCCCAGAAATAATATCTATCTAGTTAATGTCAATTTCATTTAAAATGACTCTAGAATGTTTACTAATGTTAATTCATATTTAATAGTATATTCTTATAAGATTACTGATCAATCATGAATAAATGGTTCACAGATGACCATTTTACATTAAGGTACAATTTTGCAGGTGAAGTTTATATCTCATGAATATAATATATAGGTGTGCGATGGCGCCGCAGACGGCAGCCTCATTGTTTGGCTCTCCAGTGTTTGTACTGTTTTTGTTAGTTTTTCCTGTTTTTTGTTTCTCAAACACGATCAGTTTTACCAGGGATGAGCTGCTGAACATTCGGCAGAAACATACTTGGCAATAAAGCTCTTTCTGATTCTGATTCTGATAAATCTCAAGTTCGCTGGAGTCCACCCAAGATTAAGGATCACTGAAAAATAATTAAATATCAAGTCAAGTCATCTTTATTACTATAGCGATTCATACAATACAGATTTGGTCAAAACAGCTTCAGAGTGATAAAGAGGAAAATAACAGAATTAATTATGAAAATGTAACTAAATTTAACTATGGACACAGTTCCAGTGGCGGCTGGTGCAAAATTTTCTAGGCAGGGCATCACATTCAACAATTGTAGCATACATCCCAGTATAACAAAAGGAAAAATATTAAGACTTGAAACATTTTAAATAAAGATAATTGTTTTACCACGTTCGAAATTAAGTTTGAGGATGATTCCTACAAAACTGTATTTTCTGCAATTCTGTTTTTTTTTTTTTTTTCATAGTTCACAATTCATTTTCTATTGTATAACTACAAGTCAAGCTGCAATACCAAACAGGACCACACGGAGATGCCAACAAACCAGTATACCAGTTGCCTCAACCTGACTGAATATAAATCTATATATGGATCGATTCAGAATTATTAAACAGAGCAAAACACAATTAAAAAAAGCTAATAAAAACAATCTGAATGTTGTGATCTGAAGGCGGCTCGACATGAGCAGTGAACAGTTCCTCTGTCAGAGTGAGTGTTGATGATGCCCATATGTATATAGTGGCGAGGCTACATAAGTAGCACTGGCCCACCCAGATTGACGGCTGGCCCGCCCAATCAAATGAGGGAAGAAGAAAAATCCTTCATACATTACATTCTCCACTTTTTCCCGGACATGCCCTCTTTTTGGACCTAAAAAAATGCGTCCAGCATTTTTAAATCGATTTCTAAATTGCCCAAAACGTCCGGGATTCGGCTTTTCATTGTTTGCGTTTTTGTATTAGAGACCTGCGAGGGAATGTTTTCCGAATCTCGCTCCCGCTGAATTTCTGACCATTACCACCCGCTCCTGCGACCTGTATGTTCCGCTCCCAAAATTTTTGTGTCCAGTCTCGCCCGGGAGTCCAGGAGCCGCTATCAATATGCGGAGTATATTGTTTCATTTTTGGGTGAACTAACCCTTTAAAGGGGTGGTTCACTGGTTTTTTCTAGGCTTGATTGTGTTTATTGGGTGTAGTCTAACATGTGTTAATGCTTCGTTTAAAAAAAAACTCATTATTTTTCATATAATTGACCTTTATGCCACACAGCTCTGTCCCTTCTCTGAGAAACGGGCTGATCTTTTCCTGTTTTTATGAAGCCCCACCCTCAGAAATAGGCGATGGGCTCTGATTGGTTAGCTAGCCCAGTGTGTTGTGATTGTCAAAACCGCCTCTAGCGCGTGTCTAAGCGTCCCGCCCCTCACCTCAGCGGCATGTGCTCCGAGTACGGCAACCGCACTCGCGTCCATGTTTAGTGCTTCTCTATGTGAAAATAAGTGTATAATTGTAATTCATTGCTGGAGATGAGCTGAATGAGCGAGAGAGAGAGAGAGAGAGAGAGAGGGAGAGATGCAGAGCAGGGGGATGTGAGGAACAGTATTAAGAACCGCTGCTTTTGAGCATTTTTTTGAGATTTTGAAACAAGTGAATCCATTAGAATCCTTTGAAGACAGAATCGCGATTCATATATGAATAGATTTTTACGTGCACCTCTAGTTTTCTTCCAGCGTGGGAGGGGCTAAAACAGACTCCGCCCACAGCGCGCAGCAGGACAGTCGAGTGGGAGGAGTTAAGGCTGATTTATACTTCTGCGTCGGACCTACGCCGTAGCTTACGTATAGACGCACACCCATACGCCATAGCCTGACGTGCACCTCTCCAAAAATCTAACAGCGCGTCAATTCTACGCAGACCGCAAGCGCTGTGATTGGTCTTGACTAGCGGTTTGCATGTGTACTGCACGTTGACGCGGACACCGCGTATAAATGAAAACTGACGCATAGCCTACGGCGTAAAGGCTACGGCGTAGGTCCGACGCAGAAGTATAAATCAGCCTTTACACTCAGAGTCCTTCCACACCTCTCCAGTTCAGCTGTGCGCACCGGATGAAGATCACTACATAGTAAGATGTTTTTCAGTCTGTGGTCACTTGTAAAGTTATGTTTCTAACTTCCTGATATAGAAAACAGCAACAGCTGTTGTGATTGTGCGGCTTTCGAGTAGGTTATAGGCCTTTGTAGCTCATCAAAACCTTTCTGGATTACAAACAACAAAACTTCAGTTTATCCACCAGTCTTCTTCTTATTTGATCCTTTTGATCAAACTGTGATCCAGTCATGTCACAATCTAGGCTTGTGTGAATGCTACTCAACCCTAGTAGATACACATCAGAACACATTATTCTTGTTCAAATAAAATCATTAGAAATTAATCATTATTGCTTTCATAAAATGGTTACTTCATATTAAATATGCATACATTAAATATTTAATAAATCAAATATAAATATTTAAGGCACTATTTTTTTTTCATTGAAATGTTGTCACAGCCATAATCATGTAGTAATAGGGTTGTAAGTAATTGCAGCTGTGCTGATATTCAGAACAACAACACAATTGTAAGTGTTATATTACTTTTATACAACAGTTCAATGAGCAAGAAGTTAATATTGAGTGAGACTTTAGACACAATATTGGTTTCTTTGCACGTTTTTGCTCTGCAAATGAAAATAATTCCAAACAAAGTCAAAGCAGAATAAACTACTATCTGTGTCTGAGGAAAACACAGCAGAGCTGCTTCATTCTTGAGTGAATCGGTTGAATTAATGACTCGTTGATTCAATGACTCACTCATAAAGACACTGGGTACCTCCCAATCTGAAGGCTGCGTCCTAGTAAGGCTGGCTGCATATCTTGGCTCCACGTCATCAAGCTTGGTCGAAGGATGTCTCAGTTTGAAGTCTTCGTTTCGAATCCTTCATTCGGCCTGTTTTGAAGGATGCACCAGATTCACTTTGCAAATGAATCACATAATGCTAAACTGTGTGCATTATGCTAAACGGTTGTGATTACCTGTACTGCGTAAATAGAAAGTCAGTTAATATAAAACTTTTCAATATAATGTATTCTTCAAATGACAGTTCTAATCATATTTTCATGCCGTGATCACGGGGACGGAAACATTTGACGTAGCTATGCGCACTTACTAGACCGTCTCATTCTAGTGGTTAATGCTGAGCAGGACTCTAGCCTTGAAGCCTCAGAAGGACTGGACTAGAAACCATCCTCACTAGGCTGCAGCCTTCCGTTTGAGAGGCACCCTGTCACTTCTTTTGTGAATTAATCAATCACTGCATTTGAATGAATGATTTAATCACTTGCTCATAAGTCACTTGTTCCTGAATGTTTTTGAACGAATCGTCTGAATGAATGATTCAGTGACTGCCTCATAAAGAGAGTCACTCTGTGGATTGATAATATTCAAAATAATATGATGTTCAACTAAGTATTTAATATGTTTATTTAATATTTAATATTTTTTATGTTACCATGAGAGTATTTGCAAGTAAATTTAAACTACTTATGAAAGAGGTCTTGGAAACGAATACATCTGTTTGATTTTCTAGTTTTCATGAGTTTAATATTACATGAGTATAATAGTAATGGTGAAGATTTACTTATTAGTGTTTATAAATTTATGGACTGTAATCTATAGTTAG